GTCACGAATTGTTTCGGTGTACCCTTCGAGGACGACGTTCGGACGAGAATCGGGGTTCTCGTTCGCGGCCACGATTTCCGAACGAAGATTCTCGGCCCGAAAACGTTCGAGCATGCCACACCGTAGATCGAGGAGAGAGTTGGCCGGCAGGATTTCCACGGAAATAATCTGCTTACGGTAATCTTCTTGGCTTGCCTCCCTCCCGGTTAAGGTCCGCCTTCCACGAGGAGGACCTTCGTCTCTTCGTCGGTGCACACGCGGTGGTGCGCGTCCTTCGCGGGAGCGGAGAACGCTTCGAATTCTAGTCGGTGCCGGGTTTTCGTATGTCTCGTCGAATACTGTATCGTTCCCGGTTCGTTGCTCGTCGTTCACCGGATCGCGAGAAATATTCGTGGACGATCCTTCGATGGCGGACGAGTTACCCCTCGGTGGAAAACGCGCGAGAGAACGGGCGATCGTTCGGAGAACGGTTCAGTTATTAAGATTTTCGACGAACATGCTCAAACGACAGTAATCGAAAGACATTTTGTAATTGCTTCTGGGAAATACAACTTCCATCGTAATCGATTGTGAATTCGTTTCGATCAAATTTTTTCGAAACTAAACGCAAAGAGGAAACCACCTCGGAATTGTCTCCCAGGGAACGGCACACGGTTTCTTCGATCCTGGGGTTGGTTGGTGCGTATAGAGAAAGAATGAGATTGGACGAAGAAAGGAGACGGAGAAACTGGAAGAAAAGAAATAGAGCTCATCCCTTCGCGGAGAAGAGGGTACAACGAGAGAACCCCTTGGAATCTTTTTTTCTTCCAGCCGAGAATAAAAACTAACTACCCGAGTGAGAGGAACAAGCTCGAAGATAGGTATATACATAGGGGATGTATATATATATATATATATATATATAGGTGTATACCTCATGGCATTTCCACGGGAATTAAGTTTTACGCTCAATGAACGCGCAACAACGGCGGACCTCCGGGCTAAATTGCATTGAATGCGACTCGACGAAGAAACGTTTCCTCCTGACTACGCGGATGCCACTTCTTAGCGGCGTGTATTCAAGTACGATCACGGTGTGGAAGACACTCTCTTCTCTCGTGGACAGGTTTTGTTCCGCAGAAAAATCCGCCCTCGACTTTCGGAGGATCGGGAAGCGACCTTCTTTCGGTGGACGACGACGATTCGTGGAAGCAGAACGATCCCCTGCCTTACCCCCCGTTCGACGACACCCTCGGTCGCCTTGGGGTTTCGTCACCTTCGCGACGTTATCACGACGATCGTTAAGGAGCACATTTTTTCCACCAGCTCGGAGAGAAAACCGTCGAGACGTTTTCGCGATAACGATACCGTGCCCGGAACGTTAATAGTCGACCTGGCTAAAACGCATATTTCGTAAAATCGGTTAATTCTTCGTAAGTACTCCCGGCCGGGGTTTTCCTGGTGCTATCAGCGCACGATGCTCTCTCTCCTGCTCACGCACAGACTACACCACCGTACATCGCGTACAGGTCCATTGTGGACCGCGGGAGCGAGAGAGTGCTCTTCAGGAACAATGCGGTTGTGTGCAAACACTCCTGAAAACAATGCAGCCGGAACTTAACTTTCCGCGATAGCTCCGGGCAGAGATTCGCTCCTCGTGTACACCGGCGAATAGAAGTACGGTGGAAATTGTGCTCGCCAGGCTCGGGCGAAACCCACCGCCGTGTTGTCTTCATTCCACAGGCGCACCGGGGTGCCTCGAAATTAAAATATCACCGATATACGATTGTTAGCCCGAGGGGCTCGTTAACGATATACGTTATTCCGTCGACTCTCGTTCTACCTCTTCTCGAGGCAATTTCTTTCGCTTCAACGGAATGGACACCATCGTTCGGTCCGATGCGCGTGTAGAGTGACTCGACGTGGAATGGATTGGCAACGTTCGCGTTTCAACGATGAATAATCGACGATGTCGACGCTGTCGTAGGTCAACATTCGAAAGAACAGAATATACGGGCGATTCTGGGGAGATGCCTTAACGTTTAATCGTATCGCGATTAAATTGATTGTTACAAAGGGGCGACAGTGCTGGTGAAAACAAGACGCCACGTGGCTCGTGGTCGGTTCATCGGTCGATTCGAAGATACATACACAGAATCCGTCGCCGGGTGGTCGCGTAACGAATATCTTAAGCGCGAACGAGCAACCCCGGAGACGTGGGCGGGCGCATGCGGTACACAATAATGGGGATTTAACAGTCATTAGGGACAGCGTGCCGGTATATACGTCGATTGGTAACGCAAAGTGTTTGCAGTAGGGCCGGACCGACGAAGGGCTCGAGGGTGGGGGTGGCTGGTTGCAGCGGGAGATCGATTCATCGGGGGTGGAAAAGGCAGACCGTCTCCGTCTTTCTCTGACTCACAGAGGCTTGCTCGTTCGCTCTCTCGTTCGTTCGGGCTCTCCTCTACAGCAGGCTCGTAGACTACTCGAGTGTCCTCGAGGGGCAATCGAGTGGCGACTTGGGCATTTTGTCCACACTTGGCGGCCTGTAACAAGTGCATTGTCCTGTGCGCCGAACTGCACAAAGATAAAGAGACTCTGGTCCGACCGCGTACACCAGAGAGGATTCACAAGCGTCTACCTCTCCACCCCCTCACCGTGTCGAACGTTTCGATTCCGTGGCGGGCTTTTAATATCACGACAGTGTAAATAAGTGTGGCAGATTCGCGGTGGAGATTCGGTCACCCTCGGCGGCCAAGCCGGCCTTTGTTTCGAAAACCGTCGTCGAACCCTCCCCCCGGCCGATATCGGATGGAACCGCTATTCTAGTTTACCGAGGTAGAAATCGTGACGCGAACTCCCCAACGAACGTTTCCCCGTGGTACCGCGAATTAAATGCGCGCGGTTTCACGGCCGGCGGGTTTTCGCGCACAGTTTTCCCGGACAGGAAAACCGCAAGCCACGATATACCCGTGGAGGTCGACGGAGGGAATCGAAAACACCCGATTATTGCCGTCCGGCGATTGTTTGCACGTTTCTCAGCGGCGCGCCGGCTGGCTTGTAACGAGTGCTTTGTGGTTAGTGTAAAGCCCAGAAGTGCACAAAGGTAGAGAGATTCGCGCCTGACTTGCTCCACGAGGACCCTCCAGAGAGAAAGAGAGAGTGAGAGAGAGGGAGCAGCCGCCCTTTCTTGGCTGGTCTTCTTTTCATCGCGAGCCAAATTTTAATATAGCTAGCCGGGGTAAGAGGCGTGACGGGGAAGCTCGCGCTTTATGGATTCTCTTTCATCGGGCTGAAACTTCATTTTGGAGGAAGGATCTCCGGCCAGGAACGCAATTAAACGGTGAAATCATCGTTTCCATATTGTTTCGCGTTTCAACATTGCTTCGCCTATATTTTCCATTTGTTTTTTCTCCACACTTTCGAGTCCATCGTTAACGATGTTCTTCGAGTTCGAGACTCGCCTTGCCCAGTACCAGAGAGTTACGTTTTTTTCGAAAGAAACCACCAAGTGATAGAAATTTCGACGAAACACTCGGCAGGGGCACGATACACTGCAAAAGTCGAGTGGCAGTCGAGAGGCGACGTGGGTGTTTCATCTATATTTGCGCGAAGGAACTTTCGCTCGAGTAATCGCACGAGTACCCTGAAGAGCGCCCTACGCGCGGCGTCGTTCCTTTTATACGAAACTCGTGGTTTCCTATGCAGGGGCCAGGGAAACAGGAACAATGCTCTATTAAAGCCGGTTTATCGATGCGAAATTTCATTTCGAGCAAGTGCGTGCCGTTGTAAACGCGAATACACGGTGTATCCGCGAAATTGCCGTTCGTTCGGAGTACAAAATTCGTCTGGAAATTACGAGTCTGCACGCATCGTTGACCGTCTCGGATTAACGACTGCGACGCCATAGTTGTTTCGAACGGACCAATTGTTAATCATTCCGCTCGTCTTTCGGTCGCGTCATCCGATTGTTTTTCCCGTCGCACATGTCAATTACCAGCCGATTAGCGTCGTTTAATCCGAAACATGTGCGACACGGTCGTCCCTCTTCGTGGTTTCTTCGTCGCCGTGGAACAATGGTTTCCGTTTGCCTGGTGACGTCGCGCAGATGCGTAGAAAACGTGCAGCAGCGCGGACGTAATAAACGGGAAGGCAAATAAACGAATAAGCCTCGGATACTCGGAGGTGCGAGATCGAAAGGCGAACGGGAACACCGGGGCCCGATAGGCGGACGTTCTTGACTTTGTAATCGGAGAGGATAAAACGCGGCTTAAGAAGCGGCTAAACGCGAAGACGGAAAGGCTGCGACGTGTACCCCCGTTGGTCGGCAGGGTCGCCCCTTTTTCGACACCGTGTCTCGGTTTTCGTTGCTAGGACGCCGCTTTTCGGAATTAACCACCTCTCCGCGACTGTCGTCCACGAGGCCGAGCCGAGGGAAGCGGTTTCGAAAAGCACACCCCGGAGTCGTGTTGCATCTTCTTCGGATTATCCCCCGCGGCCAGCTGCCAACCGCGTCGCTCTGTTTTTTCCATCTTCCGCGATCGATTTCGATATACACAACGTATAAAGTGTGCCTGGGAACTTTCGGTTATCCTCTACTTCCGTTTCAACGGTGACTTCGTTGCCGGTTACAATTGTCGTCCGTCTAAGGGAAGATCGTCGTTGGTTTTACCTCCGGTCGCCCTGCGGGACGCGAAACTAATCAGCGACCATTGCAGAGTCGCAGAAGGAATAACCAGTAAGCTACTAAATACAGGACGGTTTACTAAACACGTACCACGCGTCGACGAGCATACAATTTACGTGAATTGTTCGGGCCACCCACGCGCGCTTCCCGTGCTTCGAGTCGCGAGCGGACAAACGGAATAGATCGCGACGGAAATCGGCTGGTACCAACGATGATTTAACCTTTGAATTTGTATTTTGCAGAAGCAGTGGGTAATTCGGTGGAGCGGAGAAGGTCCTGGTAAAGAGGCCGCGGGGCGGGGCGGGTGGTCGTGGTGGGGGCCGAGGGGGTGGTGATGTGGCCGAACAGCCTCGGCGGTACTTCCGGCTGCAGCGGGGGCGCCGGCGCCACCGATATCGGGGGCCTCGCCGCCTCCACCACCTCGGCCTCCGAGCTTTTCGGGCCCGCCGCGTTCGGCGCGTCCGCGGCCGGTCCGTACGGTGCCCTGAAGACCAACCCTTACGTTAGTGCCCTCGGTATGCCGCCGATAGAAGCCCTGCACTCCACCATCGGCTATCCCGGTTGCACTCCCGCCGGTGAGTCCTACTACTGTGAGTGCCCATTGTATTATACTATTTTTACATATACCTACCGTACGATTAGACGCACGCATAAGTCTGTAATTTTCGTCTTGGCGTTGCCACGGTTCTATTGGAATATGTAGCGAAGTGTTTGCATGTTCTGCCAAAGGTAATCCTCGCAAGCAACGCAGGGAGAGAACGACGTTCACGCGTGCACAGTTGGATATACTCGAGGGGCTTTTCTCCAAGACGAAATATCCGGATATTTTCATGCGTGAAGAAGTGGCGATGAAAATCAACCTTCCGGAATCGAGAGTGCAGGTATGTTCGGGGTGACTTTCAGACCGGATCGCGAAAGACCGGCCGGTTTCGTCTATCCGAGGAAACGATGGGGGTAGCAAGCACGCAGGGTCGAGGTGTCTCGTTACCGAGGGGAAACAGTGTCGGCATGCAGACAACACAGACCGTAGACAGCATCGATTTACCGAACGCTCGTATTTCCTGGATAGCGGGTGTTAACCAAGTTAGTAGTTCACCAGCCCGTGAGTGAGCGAACCCTGTGTCGCCCGGTATTGTTTCCTCGTTGAAAAGCTCGCCACGCATTCCTACGTTGAACAAGAAAAATGAAAAAAGAACCTTTCGAATCGCTCTCGGTGGCTTTACAGCGAACCGTGTAAGAGCAACTTCCCGTGGCAGAGATTGTTCGACTCGGAATAGAGGACGAATCGTGGAATCGTTAACTTCCGACGCTGTCACGAACGACTTCGTGTCGTCCGAATCGACTTTCGAAGCCGACCGGGCCCGAAAACGTGTCCATGCATATTCCACCCTCATCACGAGCGAAAAGGGCGCATCGCATCCGCAATTGCGGGCCGACGCACCTGGTCCCAGCCCCGTAAATGAATTGAATGGGTCCAACCGGGCCCATAGTCTTCTGCACGTTCGTCGCCGACTGCAAAACCGGAGCCTTCTCCTCACGGCTCGCGTGCTTTCTGACCCCTGCGCCGCTTTTCAATCGAACCCACCCGGTCAACTCGATCAACGTTTCTGTCGCGAATCGAAAGTCAGTCTAACCTAAAGGAGAATATTATCTAAGAGGATTCTTCGTTTTTCAACTGAATATTTGTGGTACCGTTGGAAAGTTTGACGAGTAAACTGGTCGATGACGTGTACGATGACACGTAGGTAGGTTAAACAGGAGAATTCGTTAAAATCGGAGAATTCGTATAGAGTACATATGTGGGGGCATACATCGGGGAACAGCTTCAGTGGAAGAACGCGGGTTGCTCGTGTCGTTCCCCAGAAAATCCGTAGAAACCCAAGCTCACCTCTCCGCTTCTAACATTGATCGCGCAGGGCTTCTCTAGGTTCCTCTCTTTCTCACCACCTTCTCGCCCGCTCCTCCTTGCTCTCGCTTCGCGTCCCTCGACCTCCTCTCGCTCAGTCACTCCCTCTCTTTCTTTCACTCTATTTCCCTCTCTTTCTCCCTCTTGCCATTTTATTCACCGTCTTCGTTCTTCCAGTTTGTTCGTTCTCCCGCGTCCTTCTCTCGAGGTCGTTCTCGCGTTCTGGAACTCTAGGAGGGCGAACGGTGGATCGAAGGACGAAACGCGTCTGTTGAATACCACGCGAAAATCCAGGGCTGACCGTTTCGCGTGTCGCGAAATTTTTATTACTTCGAACAGTTCTAGCCCATCGGAGTTTGTCGCCACGAAAAAGGTCTGCGAATGTCATCGAGGTTCTTCGATCAAGATTCGACGGTTAAACGAGCCGTGTCGTTCGATAAGCTCATTCTACGCTATAACTGGAAAGTAAACAAAACTTTCGTTGAACTTGTTTTCGCAATTTTGTTTCCCCGATGGTGGCTCCGGCACGAACGAGTCGGATACGCGTGCAGGTTTCCGCTCGTGTTACCGGAGCCGGCTTCATTGGTAATTGATAGTTGGGCCGATGCTGCATTCCCTCATAATTGGCTATTACGCCAGCTTTATGAAAGCTCTGTACAGCATCCCCCGCTCGTATCCCATAGGATTTAAGCCTCGTCTCATTCCACGCAAAGATATAGATTACAAGCAACTTTTTGTCATTTATAAAACAACGAATCCCTCGGAACGACCGGATTTTTCGATTCTCGAAATCTTTTATTCTCCTTTAATTACATCGGTGGCTGCTTTAACGTTCTTTCAGTGACAAAAATAGTCAATAATGCGTCGAATCTCGTATACTCGCAGGTCTGGTTTAAAAACCGTAGAGCCAAGTGCAGGCAACAGCAGAAACAACAGCAACAACAACAGGACAAAACACCGAGGTCGAAGAAACCGTCGGGGAATCCGACCAACAATCCACCCTCTGGAAAAAGTCCTTCGATTGCTACCACGCTCACGCCAGCCGCTTCGGTGCCAGCCACAACACCCCTGTAAATACCATCTACATTAATATCCACATCGTCTTAAAGAACGGATTGTAACTTGTTTTTGCATCATCCTGCATACTAAACTATTCCTATTTTAATGTAAACGTATAGTCTAAGAATTTTCTACCTAAACGATTGCAAATTTTTACGTGACAATTATGTGCTCGAAGATTTACCGAACCTTAGAAAGGATACGATGCGAAACTGTACAAAATATCAGTTTGTGATGTCTATCTTTTATAGTTTAAACTTGTGTGTGCAGAAGCGGAGGTACAGGTGGATCGGCAGCCAGTTCACCAGCCCTTCTAAGAGATTCCCCTCAGTATAAACCACCGGGAAGTGCGAGCAGTTTACTACTAGCGGCAAGCACGACCCCGCCAAGTGTAAGTTATCGACCGTCGATAAGTTCTCTGTCGAATGGTATTACCATCTGTAAAGAAAACCTGAAAGATCGTTTCATCCTTTAGTTAGGGGGAACGGTGTACAGTAGCGGTGGCAGCAGCAGTAGCATTTGGAGCCCGGCTGTTACGGAAAGCGGAGGTGGATTTCCGGGTGACCATCAGAGGTTAGCATGGACAACCACCACCTCCCAGCAGCAATGCTACCAAAATTATTCCTCTTACTACACCAACATGGATTACCTCTCACCGGCGACACATCAATTGAACGTTGTTGTAAGCATGAATCCTCTTTGAACCGCGAAGCTTTGAACATCTATTACAAGTTTAGAAAGTTCCGTTCCGCTCACAAAAGACGCGCGTTTCATTTACAGGACGGAGGAGGAAGCGGCTTGGACAATACATGGAGTAAAACGAGAGACGAGAGCGCTTCGTCTTGGTTTTATAACAGTGCCGGGTGGGGCGATCGAAAGTGAATCGTTGATCCAGAGGAAAGACGAGGCTTCGGTACATATCATCGACAATAGTTAAGCGGATTCCGAGAGTCGATGGCAGTCGCTGCAAAACGCGACGGCATACGCGGCCAAAGACTGTTCTTTTCGCACGAGACATATCGTTGAAATGCGACCATTAGGCGCAGGTCCTGATCTATGCGAGTGCCATACCTATTTTCCTGCGTTCGATAGAACCACATAGTCGAATTTTTATCGATGTATACGTTTTGGGGAGTACGAGTAAAGGATAAATCGTGCGATTAGGCACGGTGTCTCATAGTAATGTTGAAGTTATAAGTTCCGATTTTTAGCTAACGTATCGTACGATAAGCAAGGAAAAATCGTTTTCAACGTTCGTCTAGTTGTCTTTGAAAAGTGTAACGCTGTCCACGTATTTTTTCATATCTTGGATGGCATTTGCTCAATGCACGTTACACCCGCGTTGAACAGTGGCCATCGGGACGCTTCGGTTCTGTATCTTACGTGCAATTTGGTAACGGGTTTGTAATTACGTCGAATCGCGACCGACAAACCCGTTATCATCGACGGAACAATCAATTATTAAGACGCTAGTCATCGCGAACATAACGAAGACTAACGAGAACGGTAAGATCACGAATTCTTTTAAAGCTAGCAAGTGTCCCGAGTAGAGGGGACTGGAATAGTCGTATATTTCGCGTTGTTTTAATCGGAAGGTTCCTTCTCGCGTGGCGTTAATATTATATGTGATACCGTTCGTGTACGAAGATGTATAATGTCCGGTGAACGTTCACCGTTAAGCGAGTTACGAATTTTTTAACCGTGAACCGTAACGAAAAGATTGTACGCTATAAGGACGTTACCTTCTGGGATTGAGAGCTCTGATGTACATAATATACATAAACCTGCGCCGTTCAAAAGAATCAACGTAGTTAGCCGGAATTTTCCAGGATGTGACACGCGAGGGAAACAAGTTCATTGCTGTCTTCGTTAATGGAATTTCAGCATGTACGAGGACACGATGATCGTCTATGTAAATATGTAACATTTCTCTGTGAAATTCTGGATCGTCGATTTATTTGAAGAATGCTATTGTCGTTTTAACACTTTGACTGCCACGTCACTGAAATATCGGTGACACGTACATCGCAAAGGGGCTGGATTATTTAAATACCGTTACAACGTTTTGCGTAAAATTAATAACGCAGTATAATGTCAAAGAAAACTAACTGCCGTTATGAACTTAACGCATATATTTTCGACGATTTATGACTTAAAAAACAAAATAAAGCATGTCCGACTACGTACGGCCTTTTTCACTGTGGCAGTAAACGTGTTAAAAGTATTTTAATTTTGGTAACTGTTTCCTTTGTCGTATTGGCAATCGATCCGGTGACTTTCGATCCGGAGTATGGACGGATTCGTATAAATAATAAGGCGGATAGTTTAAAAGGATCGACATCAATCGATTAAAATTTTTTAAAGTATAAGTACGTCATTAAGCGGCGGGTTCCCAATCCGTCTCCACTCCAAGTCCGATCGATACCCTCACGACCAGATAGAACGGAACAGAAGAATCTTTAACCGCTTTTATTCTTCCAATCGATTTCCCGTCTTCCCGTATTTTTATAGTTTCATCAATTATTCCTCGCTGTAATTGTACACGAACCATGCCCAGAGTCTGGTATCAAAGACTGTACTGTACATTTGTATTCAACTACCCGGAAACGTTGACTAGTCGATCACGTATGATCATTGTGCAAGCATCGGAGATATGCTCTGTATTCCTAACATTTCGAACAGTAATCACCTTTCTTTCCACGTTAACGATCCATTATTCGGTAAAATCCTCGCAACAACCGACAAAGTCATTTTCCTTTGCGTGATCAGAAGCTCCACAGATTCGAGCATCGATGCAGAATAGATAATAGACGAGACAAAAGAGAAATAAACATCAATATGTAAAATGAAAGAAGTATATAGTAAACGTAGGGATGTAAGTAACATGACTGTTTAGATTGTTATTATAAATACTATCGAGTACGATACTACGACTACCGGAGGAGAGAACAACGACATACGTGTCATAAGATGTATGAAATAATATATCGAATTTGACTTGTAATACCCACGCTGTTCCTTCATTTCGAACCGTTTTACGCTGTCCAGAAGGAAAAACATTTTTCTGAAAGCGAAACGACATCCGACAAACAATTGCAACATTGCCTCGACAAGAAAATAATTGCAACGATTTTAAAAAGACCGCGCTAGTCGGTAAGTTGGAACTCGGACCGGTCGGTAAGTGGTTTCACGGTTGGTTCCGATTGGACGCGCACTCTGGCGGCGACAGCCTGACTTCGTCGATCGGCCGTGAACCCTTGTAAGCAGGGGTCGCTTCGAAGCGGCGTGGGTTAGCGGCCCTTAGTATCGCGCGTCGCTTCGTGGTGTACGGTTTGTCGGGGTTTTGGTTTCGTGCAGTGCGTTCCATTCGTTCGAAAGCTTGAAACGGCCCGAGGAATAGAATAGGAATGACAGCGACGTGAGGGCTCTCGAAACCAGGATCGTCTTCCTTGTTCGAGTTCCTGCTCGTGGTGACTTCCGTGTCGCGTGCTTCTCCGGTGATTGGACAACTGAAAAGTATGCGGATCTTCGACGTAGCCGCGCTTCTCCTCGGCTTTCGTGAGTACCTTACACACAAGCGTAATATCACGGTTCGCAGGATTCCTTTCCCGACTCTCCCCCTCGATCCTTGATCGCGACAACCGAGAGAGAGGGAGAGGATCGGAGCAGAAAACTCGACTTTATAAACGATAACTGTTACGTTTTTTCCTACGGAACGTTCAACCCCGATTCCACGGGCGAATCACTGTACTCCGTTTCTTTCTCCACTCGCCGGCTGTAATTATGGTTAATTGGGCCTGACTGCCGCGACTCCGAGACAAACGACCGCTTTGAACAATTTCGCCCTCTCCTTCGTAGAGTCTTTTTTTTTCCCCACAGTCCGTGAAATTACTCGAAAATGTTTGTCTCGGGCTTTAACGATCCTCGATCGCGTCTGGTTCTGTCGCCCTCTGTTTTATTTCTCGCGAAATGTCGACCAGACGATCCAAGTCTAGTTAGAGTAGCCGAGGTCGTCTAACAGCTTCGATCGATTTTAGTGGAAATTTAGACGACTCGTAATTCCTCGTTTTTTTTTTAGTTTTTTTTTTTTTTTACAAGCCACTCGTTCCGTGCGGAATGAACGTATCCAATTGGCGATGGAAGTATCGGATATTGCAGGATCTCTCGAGAGCAATGCTCAAAGTCGTATCGATGGCCCTTTAACACGGTCGGCCGATTCGGCGGATCGTTCCGAAAAGCGGCCCACGGCTCCAATTTGCAGCTGGTCGCTCGAATCGGCGGTCGAATTGGTCGTGTTGATCTCACGTGCAGCGTCCTGAAATTCGGAGCGACGCGGCATGCTGCTGGTAGTCCCGATGATCGTGGTAGTGGTAGTGGTGTTGGTAGTGGTCGGATGGATGCTGGTTACGGCCTCTCTCCATCGTCCATGATGCCGGCCGGTTAGCCGCCGGTGTGCCGCTTCTTCCCTTCTCGCTTCCTCTCGAACGAGAGAACCGGTTCGATAGCCATGCACACCTACAAAGGCGAATATACGCAGACTCGGCGGAAAAGGGGGGCCATATTACGTGTCCACCTACCTAATATCGACGGTAACGTCGTATACGTGCGGCTGCACGTGTAATTAGTAGGGATGGCTGCGAACCTGGATTCCGCCGACTTCGACGACTCTTCGCGCGATGCCACAACTATACATCTATATAGTGTTACATGAAAAATCTCGAATACTCGGGCATTGAACTATTCAGCGAGTCAATAGCACGAGATCGATCGAAAGTCGATCGGTACACTATGCTGCGCGAATAACCGTTGTTAATTTCGGAGCAGAGTACACGGAAATTTTCTCGTCGAAAGTTCGATAGAAGTCCTCGACTGTTGTGTCGAAGCAAACACTCGGTTTCGTAAGTGCTGCGTAGGTGGAGCGTCGCGAACCGTCTCGAAGTACGAACGTTTGAGCTCCGAGACACCTTGTGAACCGAATTTCCGATCGATAGCTCGAATCGAATTTTTCAAGTGGCCAGAACACGCTCCGACGATCGCGTTCGTAAATGTGTATATACACGTACGATCGTGTTGTCGATGGATAGGCCGTGGGTAACCCCCCTCGACCCCACTTTTCCTTTCTCTGCCGGTCGGTTGCCTCACCGGCCACTTGGCTATTCATCTTGGTTCGGTGCTCCTAATTACACGTCTCGGGTTACGGATGAGAACGACCGTCCCGACGTTCGGAGACGTCCTGTGCCCTGAAAAGGGGTACCGGTACACATTGCCGCTTTTTCCCCGATCTTCCTCTCTCTCTCTCTCTGTTCTCTCCTACTCGAGCTGTCTACCTCTCATTCTCTCTCTGCATCTTTTTTCTTTTTTTTTTACACTGGCTGCCACTAAAGGCCCTTTGTCCGTGGCCCGGCGTGCGCGGCTATTTTATACGCCGAATGTTATTCAGCCCCGGAGTTACTCGCAACCTCTCCCTTTCTCCACGAGGTTTTTCTCTCTCGTTTCGAGGCGTTTCTGAATATCTGCCACGCCGGTGAACGAGCGCCCGACGAAGAAACTCGCGATGGTCCCCGGGTGGAGGGGAGGCGGACGACGAGACCCAAGCACGAAGAAAAATTGTATTAGCCCTTTGATCCCTTGGCTGGTCGGAACGACTCGGTGGAAAAGAGCGAATAAAAGCGGAGACCGCGGCTAATGCGGCTATTTACGCATAAAGAGCGAAAACGACGAGTATTTCCCAGGGAACCGCCACGACACGCCGCGCCAGGTTGCGTTTGCTTCTGTTCCGGTTCCGGCTACTCCGGTGGATCGTTGTTGCGGTCAGACCGCTGACAAACGTCACGTTTCTCCACCCTTCTCCCGTCCTACGAATGTTTTATGTTACTGCACGT